GTGAAAGAGTGAAGATACACGGAAGAGATGTCCAAGGCAACTCTCTCATTGTTGGACAGGCCTTACGTGTGAGGATCAAAGGTTCTCAAGGAAAATGTGCGCACAAATATTGGTTTTTACACTTACATGGATTTTGGCTCAGTGGTTTAGAGTGGTGGCTCCAATCTGTTAAGTGAGGGTTCGGGTCCCACTACGGTTAAAGTTAAGAAGCGGTTACTTGGTGTTTGGGGTTCACCAAGCTCCCCACCAGGAGTCACGTCCCCCGGCCGTCTTTTGATCGTTCATTGATCAACAGATTTTAAGGTGATATAACCATAAACTATTAGATTGTATGTTAGAGTTGATACAGTATAGTATATATTGATAGCTAGATAACGTCTATAAATAATGATATAGACAAACTTTCAACTGTGACATTTTTCAATTATCATGTACTTCTTCCTTGGGCAATTTCAACCTGTATGTAGAAATAAGCAAGACACAAGCTTCAATTTTAATGGTGACAAGCATAGTTCTTCATATCGTGTTGAATTTGGAATCATGTTGAGAGGTCAGCGACGTATACGACTTGGGCATTAAAATTGCAGTAGGGACCTGAGGTGACCATGGCGCCAGGAAATGTTGAACCTCAAGCTGAACCGTGTTTGCCTCACTTACAACGTGGCACTCCAAAACTCCCACTCAGCACACTCCAAGCTCCATGACGAAGTCGCTCAATTAATGTTGGGCAGCGGCTTGGTAATCAAGTCCACCATGACCGCCATCGCACAGATCTTGACTTACGCAAGGATCCAGTGGTAGCGGAGATCGATGTGTCAAGATCGTTAAGACGTGTTGTCTTCGGCGATGTGTAGAGCTGCTTGGTTGTCTTTGTATCACCTCGCCAGTATCAAACCCCAACTGTTAAGCGCTGGAGTACGCCTGTAATTTGCTTAATCGACGTCCTTCCTCCGATAACCTTGGACAAAAATCGGTTTTGAATGTACGCTACAGTTAGAACCGCATCACTCCAGAAGCATTTTTCCATGCTAGCTGCTCGCGCGCCATTTTGACAACAACGCGGTTGCTTTGTTCATCCTTGCCATTTTGCTGAAGCGACAAGGAGTTATTAGATTCCTGCGCAATCAAGTTCTCGTTACAGAACTCAGTAATTTCCCGACTACGTAATCTACAGCGTTCATCTCTCTATTACAGCCACCGTTGCCTCGAGGGCAACTACATTAAAATCTGCGATGCATTCTTGTAGAGCACAGTACGACATTGCGGAGCTCATGCCCTTGACGGGGAATGCCACTACAAGTTGACCATCATGCTTACTAGTCTAGTAAAGCGGTCACCCAAGTTGTCTTCATTGGCCCCACATAGTCAATCGCAATTAACACTTGTCTTTGCTTCGAGTCGCATGGCTATTTTGATGCAAAAGACAGACCAGCCCGTTTTGCAGCCGCACAAGCTCCATTGGGATTCAAATGTAAACTGCGCGTCGTCACTCCACCGAGCTTTAGCACTGTATTTACGTCTCGAGCGTTAAATTGCCCAAACCTGATGTGCCAGATCACCAAATTAATCTGTCCGGCAAATTTGGCCTCGGCGAAGTTACCCATTTAAGAAGACCTCACTATGTAGACCAATACTGCGTCTTGTTGCCACCAGTTCGGCGTGGCCGCTTGTATCATACATCATGCTGCAGAATTATCCAAAGTCATTGCGGGTAGCCCTGCAGCCCCAACCTTGCTCATGCTATCCAGATTGCACTGAGGTTCGGGAGCTTACAAATGTTGTAATGGATGCCGTTTCTTGTAGCAAGAGGTAAGTAGGCCTTCCCATGGTGCGTGGTACTCAATGTTATACCGCTACCTATTTACACAACTAATGACTGTCTTGCGCAGATCATGCAGCAAGTCATGCGTGCTTGACACTTGACTCTATGGTCCCAAGTCAAACCAAGCCAATGTTCACGGGAATATCAAGCTTCGGTTCTTCTTCGGACTATGACTCCCGGTCAAGACAATAGTGTAGTCAACCTCCCAACATTCAGCTGCAGGCTTCACTTAAGGCTGAGGTTCACTGCTGATGGGCGGAGGGGACGCTCAGCTGTACAACTTGCTAATGGGATGGAGCGATTGAAGATTCCAGCTGTTGAGCAGGATCGATTGTCAGAAGACCTTATTGTTGACATGGTAGCTCGGCTTGTTACACTTTTTTCGCCACAAATCATGTTCAGCCTGGGTTAATTAGATTCAATAGTCTAACGGTTAGCTCTCCATCTGACGTAGATTCAGCACTATTTTTGGAGCAACCGGCTCGTTGGAATTTGAGAAAGTATAACAATTTGCCAATGCCAAGAAATCAAACTAAAGGTCAACAAGAGGACGAAAACCATTTGACCCTCATGCAAACAAAGATATGGCTTAGTGCATCTAGAGCAGAATGTGGGATGCAAATGTATTTAGGAACTATTAATACAGTACTTTGAATGAAACAAAAAACTCAGTGAACACCTCTTTGAGCCAAATTAGCCTGGCAATCTTCGAGAGACAACAAGACTCTATTAAATCTCACTTGTGCTGAGCATCCACTCTACATATTTGATCAACCGTATCAGCAAAAAAAACACTTATAAAACGAACAAGATCGTTACATTTCGTTAATTTATCCCTCTGATTTTGTTGACAACTTTGTTGTAAAGCTTCGCATTATTCCCGACGGAGCTCTCACAGTCTCCTTTGTCGTGGTTGGAGTCGACTGTAACCAGTTCGCTTTACTGAGGGAGACAGTGATCACGGATTTACTTGATTATTGGTAGTAGCAATATCAGGATAATTGAGATTTTCAGTGAAATGGTCGCTGATCGGCGTTGATTTATCCTGTATCTACATTGGCGCGATACTTCCTACCTACATAGATAGAAAACCACCCAGGTATGAATTTTTTTTAAGGGCACACGTGGATAAATTTCAAAAATTACAAAGGGTAGAGCTAGGCCTATCATCGCCTGCACTTAGCGGATTAGTTTAAATTCAATAAGTGGATGGAACTAATCTTGACGTAGCGTAGCTACTTATCACAACTTTAAGGCCGCGATTGACCCGTTTTGTGTATCCTGATGGGTAATTTTCTGAATTTGGTTTCGAGCACCTTAAACAAAAAACGCCAAAATGCTAGGATAATACCTGAATCACAGTCAGAACTGAGTGGCTTCAGGAGCCAATGAAGACGAAAGACGCTTTTGATGATCACGACATCCGCTTTTTGTTGGCAGTTATGAACTTTCGTACCGTCGCGGGATCGACTGATTTGGAGGTTTGGAAGAATGATCAACAAATATAATAATTCAATTACGAGCACACGACTTAAAATCTAAGACAAAGTCGAAAAGAGGTGTGCAAACGCCCAAATATGAATAAATGTTTAAACTGTCGTGAATGACGTGAACAGTGAGTCTAGTGATGATGCAATTGTGAAAAGAGCGGCATTCCACAACCAATTTTTCCATCAGCAGAGATTCGTGTTGTTCATGGACCAGTCAAATTCGAAAATTATCGTTGCTATGAGCGTCGACATGTTGACTGTCAAATGAAACAAAATGCATTAATTCGAGTCTATAGATATGCAAAAGATAGATCTGAGCACGAGCTGCACAAGAAGGTCGATCAGATGTTGGCTTGATGGGCTCAATTGATTAATATTTTGCCACACAACGGGCGAGCAATCCGGGGGGTGATGAGAGAATACTTACCGCAACCGGATTGACATCGTCAACGCATCTGGGACATCTATCTTTAGTAGCCTTAGGGTTATTATGAGGTTGCCGTGTTATCGAAAATGTTTCTCTTTTCTGGCTTATAGTGTTCAACAATTCTTTTTTCAAATAAAAACAACAGCCATCAACCCATGCGGCAGACACGATGACTGTTAGAATTCAGCATCGAGTGCCGTCCGTGTGAACGAGGAATTGTCGCTCGTCATGCGGGTAAACTCGGAACTGAAGGAGTGCAAAAGTCATTGCAGAGCATCCCCTGTCGTGAACTGGATAATTCTTCTCAGCTGACATTAACTATGATCACCTATAGTTCTCGATTGAATCTAGGGGAGACTTCAAACGACTGCAAATCTTATCACTTCCAAAATGCCCTGAGCCGTTCCACAGTGTTTGAGGTGCCAATGCTTTTGCGATGGAAAAGCCGACAAATTCCAACCACTGATACAGCTACAACTGGTGCGTGAACAATCATAGATAGCTGCGAAATTTCAAGGTCCGATCGAATGCCCGGTACCCAAGCACTCGGATCTTTTGTGCAAGAGGTACGCTTTTCTTGAGCCTAATATATATCTTGCGATCTTTAATAGCTTAAATACGTGATGCAGATGTTTGAAATGAAATTTTCATTCTTTTAGCAAAGTGTCAATAAAAAACTTGGCTCAAGTGAACGATATGGCCCCAAAAAGTATTTAAGCTTATGATTATTTTCTATCTGGCTGGTGTGCTCTTGACACCCGTTTACAACGAGTCATTCCTATAGCTTCCCACCGGAGGTGCTAACAGTTGTGAGCGGGGTAACATGAGAATTTGAGAGAAGCCATTCATCAAACAATTTCAAAGAAATGCAACAACCGCGGACTTCAAGTCAAGATTATACATATCCATGCGTGAGATCGACGTCTGCGATGATATGATGGTATAGCTGTAATATTTATTTGCTAGAGGCCGAAACGCTACAATATCCTTTTGTAACTTTCATCTCATAGCATATCAAGCTTAAACTTGCTAGACTCATAGGACTCGTCAATAGCTTAGAATTTATGCCGAGAAAGTACCCGCTAATGCATTACTCAATTATCTGTACCAGGGGCGAAATTACACGTGCAGAGCTCTGCGATATGAAGACTAGCTTTGGGACTTCGTCAGGGGAGATGACATGACATGCTCTGTGACGAGAAATACATTGCTCCTCTGCTACTTGAGAGCTTGGATCATCCGTGTTTCAAACACCTCGAACTAACACCAATATCTCCGGTATTGTGGCATATTACAATATCGTCATTTGGGACTATCATATATACTTATTCGATTTCAAAGTTCTTGAGGGCGAATAGTAAGGGTTTGGGTGAGCCAACGGTGAATTTAAAGAAAAGTACTCTATCACTCGAGCTAAATACCAACATTTTAAATTCCGGCCAGCGACAGGTTTGCTGTTGTTTGTACCCACCCAACGTTTAACCAATCGTTGAACATTGCGGAGTAATCTTAGAAAACATTTTCAGCCAGAAGCGTGATAAAGCATCATATTTAAGAGTTTAGGCACCAAAGTTTCTTCATTAAACATTTTTGAGTCGGAAGCCTTTATGGTACACCATGACATACCAAATATGCAATCGGATGTCTTATCCGTATTAACTTCCTCGGGATCACCCGGCACAATTCTGCACGTGTTAAGTGCACATAGCACTTGTGCTCTAAAAGCCGATAGATATTTTTTTTCTTCAAAAACCTTAACGCCTACAATTCAAGCCACTAAACGATCAGTTTATTGATTTAGAACATATCAAAGCTGTTGTTAACCCATCCACTCTCATGGCCCCCAAATCGTGTGTGATTATCTTGCGGGACACTGTGCCGGTGGTGAAATTCATGCATATTCTTAATGTGCTGTTTGCAAAGTGGCGACGCCCTCACCAGTTTGGCCAGAAGTTGCACCGCTCACCTACTGATCTTAGACATCTTTTAGAGCTGGTATTAACCATGTCTGGGCCCTTCACGCGCGTGCATCCACAAGTTTCACGTTCCAGCGCCCTTGGACAGCAAACTGCTACGCGTTCTCGATGCTCTGCGAAGAATAGACGTCGCTTCAAGCGTAGTTCACCCAACCGAGGATTCAACACTGATAACAGTAAGATGCAGAGATGCTTTAAACGACTAATCGGCTCAAGACGACCCCAGTTAACTGACGAGTGGCAGTGTAAATAGACTGAAAGTGCAATCAGATGTACAAGCCACAGATCCGCTACACGATTCAATTCTATCAATATGTTATAATTGTGCAAAAGTTGGTAATATAGATTCTGTTTCATCTTAGTTAGCGTGCCTCGTACGCCATATGGCCATCTTAAAGGCGTTTGAGCAACTAATTTGTTGTTAAAGGTTGTCTTAATAATTTTGTAGTAAGTGCTAGCTCCAGCTTCTCCGCTACTATTTGTCTTATCCTTACTTTCCGTACTTAAGGCACACAAATGATGCAACGGGATTGCCGTGTATCTAGCATAGAGGAAGCTTTGACTCAGAGAGTGCGCACTAACAAGGTACACAGTTTGGATGCGTTCGCCTCAACTAGGAGCGAATTCAATGTCCGTCCCAGTGACAAGCACTACGTTTTCCCTGCTACTTCGCGAGTGCCATACATTAGGTTGAATTATACCAAAACAAATACTCGATACTATGTTTGATGATGAAATCTCTATTCTTTGCTTGATGTGCGAACAAAACCACTGTGGAGAAGTGTAACAATTTGGTACACAAACCTACGGTACTTACCCTATCATATCACCTTAACAAGATGTGGACCGAACTAGGGCTCAATTTATTTTGCTTTTGAATACGTTGAGCACAATAAAGCGCTAAATGCGCACTCCCTGCGTTATGAGTTCTGCATCCCTTTCGAAATCTAGAGCGCTAACTCCAGGAATTATTTTTGTGTTGAAAGTTTTCGCCCTTACATCATATCGTACGGCTCAGCAATCCTCCGAAAGAGACGCAGTCTGTGCAACTGACAAACTCAAAGCCAATCTGGATGATGAGATATAGGTGCTTTTTGATGGAAGCGGTCTCAGTTATTCCTCCCGGACCCGACATTTCTGTCCGCGCCAAGGGTCAACCGGCTGATCCGTTTACTGAAAAGGTGGCGTTGCTGCGCCCCAACCTCTTCTGCACGAGTTACGAGCTCCGTGAATAGTCCTATTAGCGGATTCTGTTACGACATACCGTTGCGGAACTTACGACGATTTCTAGTTTGTCACCTATGAGCTGGATCAGGCTCAAGGAGCCCATCCTGATCATTTGCAAGCTTTAGATGTGCGATGACTCTCGACAATCTTATGTGATTATGGACTGAAATATATAAAGTTGCTTATTACGCTAGAGCGAGGACTCTATTCGCCTACGTGTGCGAGCGTTTTACTTACACCAAGAGCAAAATGAGCACCCAAAATTTGCTTTGCAAGCGCTTTTCAATCGCACTGGTGAAAATACTCGATAGTCAAGTTTGCACTTAGAGCAGTAATCAACGGATAAATGCGTACCTTCGTGAGCACGGTGACTTGGGTTATGGATGCTGGCAAAAATAACTAAGGGTCCCACACAGAATTTGCGCGCTGAGAGGAAGACACATCGTTTTCATCGTCTTATAGTTTTTAAGACAGCTTCACTGAGGCAGACATCCCACACAGAGTTTCGTCTAAGGATTAACTTTGCTGTGAACCCAGAAAGCGGACTTTGATGTATAAATTCATCACCAACAATTCGTGCTATTTAACCCCACCGATATTAATGTGACAACCGTTACAGGTATAAACCATCGTTCTTGCAAATAGGTTAGTCCCGATTTACTAGTAGGTGGTACGCTGCGGGGTGTAACGCTAACTCTTCTACAGAAAAGACAATGCTGAGTTTGTGCCAAAAATGGCATCGGAAGTAGGATAATCATGCTGAAGTCAGTTCTTTAAGTTCACTGAATTATTGGCATTAAAGTATCTCCAAAGCTGCACAATTTACGAGCGACAACCTTAGTTTGTCAGCCAGCCAAGTTATCGATACTCGTAAATGTAGGTTTTTCCTAGCTCCTCGGGTGGCGCCAGCGGAGAGCGTCCTCACACTCTTAGCTCTCAAGAAGACTCGATTATAGCGGCACGTCAACTCACTTCGTGAGTCTCGCAAAACCAAAAAGCACGAGAAAGTGTATTAGAATTTCTTTTAATTAATCATCCATTAGATTGTCCAATTTGTGATCAAGCCTCTGAATGTGGTTTACAAGATCAAACAATGGTTTTTGGTTCAGATCGAAGTCGTTTTTTTTCTAAAAACGTAGTGTTGAAGATCACTGGCAGGGGTCAGTTTTAAATATTTTCGCCATCGCACTACTTGGCTTGAGGCAATCGTAGCGGTTCAGGGAGTAGCTCCGATCTAGCTTATCATGACTGGCTCGTATTAACAGTAACAGAATACAGCTTTGTCAAATTGACGCGGAACACAGACTGTGTTTACATTCCCTTCACCATCAAAATTCCACAATAGAAACTCAAGTACTCTTCTGTACAATCGTGAACGGCTGTTGTCGTAACTTTAGCCCTGCAACAAAGATAGGTAGTTTAACCTTGTTCTATAACGTTCCATCATCATGTTTTGACTGCCTCTAACTTCGGTGTGTTTGGATCTCAGCCATATCATTGTGCACTTGGCGCTTGACACGTAATTTCAATGAATAGAGCCGGTGTTTTTGTACGATTTGTAGCCAATCTACTATTGGCAGGCTTAATCGTATCGCCAACCACTCCATAAATACTGAAGCCACTTTGTTACGATGTTAAAGGGTCTAATGATCTTCCGAAACATTTATGTTAAATGATGTGAGGCCTGTAGAGGCATGTATCGCGTAAGCGCAAGCTGAACCGGCGAGAGAAAATCGCGTCTGCACCTAGTTCTCCTTATTACAATCACGAGCTTCAGGTAACTACTTGTGTGCGGGTGGCAAGCGGCTTAAACGCTCAGCTTGGTCCAGAGAAACTTGCAAAAAGGTCGCTAGAGCTGTGCATTAAAAGTAATTTCACATATCTAGTCAGTTCATGATGGTGGATCTCTGTTTGACGGATCACCATCGACGTAAGTCGTAGAAGAAATAACAAAGAAGTTATAGTACAACAGATCTCGCATGCACGTATGACATCATTGGACGATTTCACAAATATACAACGAGCTAATTCGTAAAGAATGATGGTTCCTACTTGTGAACTTACACTAGCGGTGCGACTGATGTGTTCATACTTTTTATAAAGAGTACAGCGAGCTCGGGGGCTTTCCACGAAGACTTCACGTTCAAGGTTTGCAACGTTCCCTAGTTTCAACCTTGATGAACCCTTATAAAATAATTTTTGTAGAGGTGCTGGAATTGTGTGCTGCTATCGAGGTATCTAAGCCAAAGAGTAAGTTGTATTGGCAGGGATATGACTAGTGGCGGTAGCCTTCGTTTTTTCGCTCCTAATTCCCTACGTTTACAGTCATTACACAATGTAATATCTGGCTCGTTACTTCACTGATTCATTTGCAATATAGAAAGATGCTTGCATGGTAGGGGACATTTCTCGAATTAGACCAGTCCTGGTGAGCCCAAGAACTAGTTCAAAATGGACAGTTGCAATTAGCTTAAATCTTGGTGGGTTTATAGCCCACGCTCAATCGATTAGAGCGCCTTTGCTTAAGCAACCGAGTCAATTTGCAGCCTCAGTTCCGGGTTTTAAGTATTGATAAGCAAAACATGAAACATATTGTGGCACATCACACTTCAACGAACCCAAGGTTTTATAATCCAGACTCATAGGTTATACTTCTGCATGTGAAGGTTATATACATATGACGTCAAAGATTTCTTATGGTGTTATTTTGTTTTCGATGTTCATTCGCATATCGAGCGAAGCGTTGGGCGTATAGAAAGTTACTGTCCGAGCCAGATTTCTTACATTACCTAGAAGACTTCGAGCAAGAGCTGAAAAAGCTTCCAAACCCTCGCAGTTCAAATTTTGAGCTTGCACTGCGCTATAAAGGCTTTGTCAGAGTAGATTCGATTTGTTATTGAACGCACAACGAGCGCGATATCTCTTTCCAAATATTGTCAACCAGCCAATTGATATCTAAACGCAAGTTGTGACATTTATGACAGTGCTTTATGACGGTCCGATTCAAAACCAATTATTCCGTGAATATCCGAAGACTTTGGACGAAGCTATCGAGCGTGCGATACGAGACGAATATAGTATCAAGCAAGTTAAGTTTAGCGGGTTTATCGCTCATCCAACATGACAACACTCAACTCCGTAAACTTGATGGACATTTGAACGCTAGTGAGACCACCAACAGTATGCTCCTCAATGACGGGAAATGTGCTCGTTGCAGCATTCCAGGTCGCATGACGAGAAAATATATGATTTCGTTGCCAAGACGGCAAGCAACACATGGTCCGCGGTCAAAGCGATCTGGAAAAAAATGGCCGATAAATCTAGCGTTTTCAGCAGTAAGAAACGGGAACGACTAGCATGGGCGGGGGGCTATTATCTTGTGAATTTTTTGATCCGCAAAACTCATACCCCAATTGAGCAATTCACATAAAGCTCTCGCGAGCAGACGTCAGCGTGTCAAGCAAGATCCAGTCCTAATAGTCCATATGATTAAAAGAGACAGTTACTCATAATCTTTATAGGCTCTCGTAAGAAATAGTGTGTCAAAAAATCTTGCCGCACACAAGTGGTAGACGGTATGGTCTGATCCCTCTTAACTCTAATAAGAAGAATATCACTCGCTTGGCAAATGGACGGGAAGTGACAATTCCTAAGCGCGTCTTGCTTAATCGACGTCGATTACAAGCTTTATATATTTCTGGGAATGCTCGGGCTGAAATGATACCAAACGAGCATTCGCTGGAAGTTGAAGCCAGCGGCAAGCAAGACGAGGAAGACCGCGGGTTCTTGGTAGCGACAGATAATCTTGGCGTAATCATCGGTTGTAGATGTGTTTATGAAAGACAGCCCGTGAAGACTACTGAAGGTGAGTTAGTTAGTAGCAGAGAAAATCACCTCCGCGGTGATTTTTT